TTTATTTATTTATTTGTCAGAGAGAGAGAGGGAGAGAGAGCGAGCACAGGCAGACAGAATGGCAGGCAGAGGCAGAGGGAGAAGCAGGCTCCCTGACGAGCAAGGAGCCCGATGTGGGACTCGATCCCAGGACACTGGGATCATGACCTGAGCCGAAGGCAGCCGCTTAACCAACTGAGCCACCCAGGCGTCCCAAATAAATAAAATCTTAAGAACAAACCCACACACACAGTGCAGTCAAGGTGGAAGGAAAACAATGGAAAAAGACATACTATGGCAACAGTCAGAGACAGGAAGGTGAGGGCGCTGTGGTATTACCAGAACACAGACTTTAAGGTTAAAAGTATATGAAGGACACACACACCGTGCTGACAGTAAGTCCAACCAGAAGTACCTGAAAATACACAGATACCTACTAACAAGCGAAACTTACTGACTCTAAGGAGAAAGAGACAAACCCACAACCTCTGTGGTACATTTCACCCGATCTGATCGCATTTGCGCGCTTAAAACCCTTCACTTCCTTGCTGACCCACACACAACAATTACTGAGGCAAACCCCAAACCCCACAGCCCAGGCTGCCCTTCAGGGCTTGCCCACTCCATGTCCAGTCTCTGCCCCCCACGCCCCAGCCAGCACACCCTCCCGGACGCAGTCAGACAAAGCCGGGAGAGCAGCAGAGGTCCCACGTGCTTGACAGGTGCTTGGCACGCTGCCCTGTGTGCACCGGAATCTGGGCTGGGACCTAGATTCTGGGGCAGCACCGCATGCGCTTGCCCCCTGCTGCCTCCTGGTGGACAGTACCCGACACAGAGTGAGACGGGGTCTGCGAGGACCCTGACCTGGACCGTCTGGTGGAGGTGGACAGCTACCACCTTCTTCATACAGTCTTTGATCATCTGGGAGGTGAAGAAGTTGGCCTCGCCCTTCTTGTCCACAGCAATCTTGCGGTAGTCCTCCAGCAGGATGGGGCAGATGGCCTGGGTGGGGTGGGTCATGTAGATGGGCCCATCATAGCCCACCATCTCACTGAAGTAGGGGAGTGCCCCACAGTGGTCCAGGTGGAAATGGCTGCGGGTACAACACAGGTCAGCCCAGGGCCACTGTTCCCCAACCAAGCCTGCCCCCTCCACAGGCTCCACACCAGCACAGACTCATGGTCATTCCACCCAATCATTCACTGGTACACTGACTCCCTAGGGCGCATCAGATGACCACCTCAGTGCCACAGAGTGACAAAAACTACTACCTTCCTGGAACTTGGAATCTAAATGTCCAATAAATCAGTGGGCATTGACGAGATAATGCTCACGTCAGACAGACACATGTTCTATAGAGTAATGACAAGTAGCTAAGAAAGGGACAGGGCATCAGACAGTTAGCATCTCTGGCGGATGGGCAGGAAGACCCCACGGCATGTGAACCACAGCAAGGTGGCACCGGGGCAGAGGGAAGGGAATGCTGCACGTCCATGAATGGAGCAGACCGGGATGGGGATGGCCTCCCTGCCGTGGGTCGGTTGCCCAAGCACAGCCCCATCTTCCTGGGGCAGCTGGGGCTCAGGGCTCTCATCCGTGACACTCAGGGCAGAGGCAATAGGCACACACGGCACAGTGTGCCCCTTGCTCCACCATGCCCACCAAAGCCCACTAAGGAGCAACCGTGGACACTTAGGTCTCAGGCAAACCATCCAGAGTCAGGGAGGGGCAGCTCTGGGGGTGTGCCACATAGACAACCTAGAGCAGAACCCGGGCCTGTGACACCCCACAGCCTGCAGCCTTCCCAGGCCCCGAGTGGCTCTCCTGGGCTCCCGAGTCCTCAAGGTGGGCCAGATGCAAACCCACACAACACTAACAGCCCACTGGCGCCCACCTGATGATCACACAGTCCAGGAAGTCGGTCAGCCGGCCACTGCGGGTGATGTAGGAGAAGTCAGGGAAGCGCCTCTGGCAAGCCAAGAGAAAGGGTCAGAACACAGTTGCCCTGGGTCTGCCAGCACCCCGGAGAGTGGCTCCCAGGAGTGGGGAACGAGGGCAGAGGCTGAGCCTGGCCAGCCACAGCATGACCACTGACTGCCCACAGCCTCCGAGAACACAGGGAGGGAACAAACTGCCAGAACCCATCACCCAGCAAGAAGGCCTGCCTGGGGACCACTGGGCTGCCCCGTAACTCCACGGGAGCCCAAGAGACCCTGCTCTGGCACAAACCAAGCCTTCCACACGGGGCACCCCATCTGTCTAGTGATGGTGGGGAGCCTGCCAGGGAATGCAGTGACCCCAGGCCCACCCGCCTCCTGCCACTGCCCACTTTCCCAGAGTCCCTACTCCGAGGCTCCAAAGCCTGGGGCCCTGCTGAGAACAGCAACAAGGAGCAGCTGAATGAGGTCCCTCCAGGCCGCCTTCCCTCAGGACTCACGTCGTCATTGAAGCCCATGTGCATTCCGCAGTCCAGCATGACGTTCTTGCCTGCGATGGAGACCAGGATGCAGCTCCGGCCCACATCCTGGCCGGCCCCTGGAAAGCAAGATGGGACGGGTGCTGCCGCGCCCACAGCCCTCTCCCCACTGCTGCAAGCACCGCCCCGCTCCAAGAACAAGGTCCAGCCGCCTGCCTCACAACCCCACTGGGAACTCTGGGTCCCTGACCCTGCAGAACCCTCAGTGGTCTAGGAAAGCCCCACGCTGCTGTGCTGATGACGTGTGAGGCGAGCAGCAGCACCACCGTCTCTACGCTCAGGCCAGGGAAACGTGCAGGTTGGGGCAAAGTGCCAAGGCTGCCAAGGGAGCTCCAGACCACATGCCCTCCCCCACCACACCTCCAGCCTCAGGCCCTGCCACTGCCACCCAGATCAGGTGGAACAAGACCCCCACTTCTCGAGGGGGCAGCCCACCTGCTGTGGCTGACAGGAACCTTCAAAGGCCGGGGCTGTGTAGCCGGTGCTGCTGGACTGTGGTCCTGGCACTTAACAGGGCTAAGCCGGCGCCCCACAGGGCATCACTGCCCCTCTTGAAAACTCAACTGGGGGCACACCTGGGCTATGGGGCTATGGAGCCCTCTCCCCCAGGACCTACTCCCAGAAGGCATCAAGCACCTCCAGGTGGTGTCCCTGCAGAGGGACACCTGTGTGGCTTTAGCCTAGCCATGGGGAGACCTGGCCCGAGCTGTCCAGCAATGACAGTTACGGCGGCCACAATGCAGATGGCTCTCCACCACACCCCCGCAGGGCACCCAGAGCCCAGAACTTAACCCGAGTCCTATCCACGTTCCTGACTTTAAGCCCTACCCATCTGCTCCAGCCCCAGCAGGCCACATTCCAGCCACCTCCAGTAGCCATTTGTCACCTCCTCTGGGGTCTGGAATCCCAAGAAGAAAGGCACGCAGCCTTGCAGGGCCTGATGATAGCAAACGACCCGCTTTCCATCTTGATCCTACAACCTTCCGTCTGCCAGCCAGAGCCAGCGCCTTCTGTTAGCGCCACACACATCAAGGTGGCCCAGAGCAGGACCCAGACTGGTCCTTGAGAAGCCTCAGTGACCCGTGACAACAGTAGGTGATCCCAGCCAAGAGCTTCGTCTGCAGGCTTCAGGCCGCCTAGCCAAAGGCCTGGAGATTTCTCATAAGCCTGCTCCTGCCCCAGCAGGACAACATCAGGGTCTCAGCCGTCTGCTCCCTGCTGCACCTTTAGCCCTAGAGCTGTGCCTAGCGCAGAGACCCTCCAGACATTTGTGATGGGGTTAAGGGGAGGGCTGCCCCTCTTTACAGAGGATGTGAAGGCACAGAAGTCATGGGATCACCCCATGGACACACGGACCCTAAGCATGGGGCCAGGAATGGTTTTCTGGACTCCAGAGCTCAGTTCTTAGGCACTGGCCTCTACTCCCAACCGGAATCACAACCACCCCAGGGAGCAAGGAGAGTGGCCCAAACAGGGCCGCAGATGTGGGGAACAGAGTCTAGAGCACGCACAAAGAGGCAGGACTCAGAAGAAAACAAAGATGACTTCACGTCTGCGGAGTTTGTGTTTCAGGGAAAGGAAACAATGACCATGTAGATAAGACACACACTGAGTCCATCAGGTAGAGTTTAGGCCCTGGAGAAGATTAAGGCAGGGGAGGGGACACAGAAATGTCCAGATCCACACCAGGGGAAGTCCTCCTTAAAATAACTTCTGAGCAGGGTGGAGAGGGACAGCCAGGAGATGGGAGGGGCGGCCGTGCAAAGCCTGTGGGGCAGGAGTGATCCAGGCCTCTCTGCACCTGGCCCACATGACCAGCGAGCCAGGAGGCAGAAGCTGGCAGAGGAAGACAAAAGAGAAGGAATTCTGCTTTGACCGTGCTATGGCCTTGGGAGCACACCCAGGTGCAGACTGGGGTAAGAGAAGCAGCAGAAAGAACTGCTGGAAGAGAGTGAGTGGTGAGAAAGCCAAACTGTGAAGGAGCACTTGGGAAAGCATGATCCGAGGACGCCCCTGGAGGGGCGCCAAAGGCAGGGGAGTGTTGGGTCACAGCAGCCAGAGGGGAACCCGTGCCAAAAGCTATGAGAGGCTGCTGAGGGAGGGATCTATCCCGCACGTGGAGCAGAGATGTTCAACAGCTCAGTGTCCCCACGCGGGGCCGGGGGTGCTGCATGGTGAGGAACTCACAGCATGAGGACGCATGCAGAGCTGTGAGGAGCATCTGCACAGGAAAACGCTCCCCACGCATGGCCCAGTGTAGGAGGCAGGGTCCTGGGCAGCACAGAGCACAGTGCAGGAAGAACGCCCAGAGAGCGCTAGAGGGCTGGCCTCCAGAACGCAACCTGATAACCCCCGTTGTTCCTGGGGCCCTGGGCTCCCAGGGACCTTCCCCACTTCGGTGCTCTGCACTCTTTGGGCTTTTACACCTTCTACAAAACGCAAACCTTCCTTAGAAACAAAACAAAACAAACGCCGCCGCAGAGCCCGGGTGAGACAAGGCTGAACGGCGCGTGGACGGCTGGACTGGGTAAACGGGAAGCCGCAGGTACCGGGTGCGAGACCGACGCAGGAGAGCAGCGAGGGCCACCTCAGGCATCAGTGCACGTGGACAGAAGCCGGCGCGGCGAGGTCGCAGGCCGGGGCTCTCGGGGTCGGCGTCTGGAGGGCGTAACCCACCCTCTTCTCACGGCGAGAAGAGCTGGGGACGCAGCAGCACAGCAGCGGCCGACCCCCGAGCCGACCCTCGGGAGGCGGAGCCGGCCCGAGACCTCCGCGGACGGCAGCCGCTGGTCGGCGACCCCGGCCAGCCCTCGGCGCCCCCGCGGCTCGTCCCCGGACCACCGCCCGCCCCGCGCCCGCGAGGCCGGCCGAGCGCGCCTCACTCACCCAGGGGAGTGACCCTGATCTCGGGCATGCTGCCGGGCGCGCTCCCACACCCGTAGTCTCTGCCCCCACCGAGCCGGCAGAAACACCGCGGCCGCACGACACCCAAACCCCAGACTCTGACGCGCCGCTCCCCGACCCGCGGCGACGTATCGCGCAGGCGCAGCCCCAACGGCGCCAGCTTCCGGTGCGCCCGCCGGAAACGCCTGCCCACGCGTCGAGCCTCCGGATTGGGCAGCCGGTAACCAATCCCCGGCGTCAGGGAGGCGGCCGGGGGCGGGGCAGCGGGTCCAGCGGCAGCCGTGGCTGGGGGCGGCGGCGGCGCAGGTGAGCCGGAGGGCCCCAGGCTCGGGCCCCGGGCGGGGAGCAGAGCTCAACCGAACTCGGCAGGTGGGCCTGGGCATCGCCAAGGGGCCAGGCGTGGGAGGGGGCGACCGAAGGCCTGGCTTCCACGCCGCCCAGGTCGCCGGGCCTCTGCTTAATCCCTGGGCCTCGGCTGGAGCGGGACCTGCCCAGGACTAGGCTCTACCGGAGCGCGGGGTCCGAGCCTGGCGCCACCTGGAGCTCCCTTCCCGAGCAGGACTTGCAGGGCTTACTGCACAGGGCCTCAGTCCTACCCGCTGGGCCTGTGGGGTGTGGGGCTAGGCTGGGTGCCTTCTTCTCCCGAGGGCCTTCAGCCTGCTGTCAGCCACAGAGGGGCGGCGCTAAGGCAGCCCTCCTGCCGAGACTTGACCTTGGGGTTGTGGGCTGACCCTGGGGGGAGCCTTGGTGGTGCCCTGCATCACCTCCCCAGAGTTGGCAGGCTGCCTGGCCCGGGCTACACAGCCCGTGTCCTTCCTGTTGTTTGCAAGTTCTGAAAAGCTCCCAGCAGCTCCTCTGCGCTGCTGGCTCAGGTTCTAGACAGGAAGGCCAGGCGCACAGGATGTCTGGTGTCCCGGAAGGTAGCCCTGAAGGCCTCAGGGACGGAAGACAGGCCCTGAGAGAGGGGAGGGGCGGGCCGGAAGTCTCTTGAGCTCCCGTTCTTCCTGAGGCCAGGCACGACTGTCCCCCACACCTGAAGACAGGGTGAGCTCACCTCTGGGGGCTCAGCCCAATGCCAGGAGCCTCCAGGGCCTCAGCAGCCACTAGGCCCCATCAGATGCCCCTGGCATCCTGGGTGGCGAGATGCAGCTGAGTCCCCAGGGATTGTCAGAGCCCAACCCCAGTGCCAGCCCTAGGCGCCCAGGAGGACAGAGGCTGGGTTGCCCAGTGGCACCCATTCAGTGTGTGGGCACTTGCATGTTTATGGAGGGACTGTATGAATGTGAGCAGAATCCAGGGTGGGACTCTGGCCTCAGGCACTTCTGGAAGGTTCCTTGGGGGTGGGGGAGGGCCTTGTGGCTGTCTTCAGACCTTTGGCCCAGCTGCCCTTCTGCATGGCACCTGTACCGCTCCAGCAGGAGTGAAAAGATCGGTGTCTGTCAGGCCATGCTGACCTTGGAGCCTCTGCTCTGGCCCAGGACGCAGCAGAAAAGCCAGGAAGTGCCCAGCCCACCTGGCCACCCTTCCCGGCCCTCCACCTTCCGTAGTACTCATCTTGTTTTTAGCTACCATGTTGGACTTTCCCGGCTTTCTCCAAGAATATCGCCCTGACAGGCAGGGCTGGCTGTTTGTCTCATGGGCCACCCACCCTGGAAGGGTGCTTGGCTCTGGGCAGAGACGTGGCTCTGGTGTTTGACTCTGGTGAGAGAAACAAACAATAAACGAGCCAAAAAACGTGAGTGAAGATGTTTGCCATCGATAAGATGTAGCAGAGTGGTTTGACAAGGCTGAGTGACAAGGAGGGGCCGTGCTAAGGTCTGTGGGCATGTGTTCCAGGCCCGGGGCAGCATTGGGTCCTTGTGTCCGATCTTGTGGCCCAGGCAGAAGGAAGTAGGCTTCTGGGGAGAAGGGCACTGACGCAGGCACGGGGCCCAATGTGGGCTTTTAGTGGGGGGCAGCTGGATCCCAGCAGTTGTTTTCTGACTGCTCTCGCCTCCCCCCCAAAACAGTGACCCAAGGAGTGAGCTGACTCGTAGGGAGACAACCCAGCAGCCTGACTTCCCACGTGTTTCAGCGCGTATTGAGAAATGGATGGCTTGGAGTCGGACTTCAACCTGAGGGTCGTCTTGGTCAGTTTCAAGCAGTGTCTCAACGAGAAGGAGGAGGTGCTGCTGGATCACTACCTCGCCGGCTGGAGAGGTCTAGTCAGGTGCTTGGGGGGGGGCACTGCCTTGTGGGGCCCCACCCCTCCCATGTGTTGCGCTGGGTGCTAGGCACAGCCGGCTCCCGCCTGCCTGGGGCTGGTCAGCCTCTCTCACTCACCCTTTGGCCGGCAGCTCCTGCAGGGGCGCGTGTGCTCCAGGAGGCGGGGGGGGGGGGCAGGCTCCCCTGCACCCGGGCTGAACTCCTGCTTCCCCTTGAGCAGGTTCCTGAACAGTCTGGGTGCCATCTTCTCCTTCATCTCAAAGGATGTCACAGCGAAGCTGCAGATCATGGAGCGTCTGCGCAGCGGCCCCCAGCGGGAGCACTACAACAGCCTGCAGGCCATGGTGGCCTATGAGGTGGGCAACCAGCTGGTGGACCTGACGCGGCGCTCCCGCCACCCGGACTCGGGCTGCCGGACGGTGCTTCGGCTGCACCGTGCCCTGCGCTGGCTACAGCTCTTCCTGGAAGGCCTGCGCACCAGCCCCGAGGACGCCCGCACGGCTGTGCTCTGCACCGACTCCTACAACGCCTCGCTGGCGGCCTACCACCCCTGGATTATCCGCCGGGCTGTCACTGTGGCCTTCTGTACGTTGCCCACACGCAAGGTCTTCCTGGAGGCCATGAACGTGGGATCCCCACAGCAGGCTGTGGAGATGCTGGGCGAGGCCCTGCCCTTCATTGAGCGAGTCTACAGTGTCTCCCAGGAGCTTTATGCCAAGCATTCCCTGCTGGATCTGCCCTGAGGGCCAGCGGGCCGGGGCGGGGGAGGAGGGCAGCCAGCACCCGTCAGTACCCCCATGGAGATGTGTGGGTGCCCCAGGAATGGGAAGAACACTGTCCTGTGCTCGCTGAGCTTGACTGGAGCCCTGGGCCCAGCGTGGCCCACCCAGGCCATGCTTCAAGCCTGCGGTGCACAGGCCATGGCAGAGGACGCGGGCCGCGGCAGTCTACTCCTCCCCTGTCACCTCGCTCTGCCGGGAGCATCTCTGCTTTACCCTCAGCTGAGATACACCTGTGTCCAGTCGGGTCTCACCTAGATGTTGAGGTGCAGAAGGCAGGGCAGATAAGGGGCAGGATCAACATTCATGGGAAACCCAGAGAAGCGGCCCCTGCCCGTGAGCCAAGTCGTGAAATGGGGCAAAGTCCCAGGGCCCTGTGGCACAGAGACTTCATCCTGCTCCCGGCAAGCACATTCAGCAGGTGCTTGTCCATCCCTGGCCCATCTCAGTGTCCGCACCCAGGTACCCCTGGGCCCCTCCACGAGGGGCTGGCCGTCCCCAGGACAGGGATAGAACCCCTGGGCAGGTGTTGGCAACACAGGCTCTCTCCCCATCGCTCACCTCCTTACTAGACAGGGACCCACATGTCCTTGGCAGCAAGAGCCAGGAGCTGAAGCCCTGAGTGGAGAGGGGAGGCCCACCCCGCCTCTCTGCACTCTCATCAGCGGCCACCCCGTCCATCAGGTACCCCCCCAGGCAGCTACCTGTGAATCTGCACAGCACAGCCCACAGCTCTGCTGGTCCGGGGCTAGCCCCCCGTCATCCGGCAAGAGGCTGTGTTCCCTCCGCCCTGCCCCACAGAGCTCAGGAGGGCCAGAAAGAGACGGTGCACGGAGGGAGCCTGGACTAGAAGCCTAGCCGACAGGCCAGCCATCACCCAGCACTTGGGGGCCTGGCCTCTTCTACTGGCTCTTCACTGTGAGCTCAGGCCCTTCGAAGCCGAGGGAACCGTATCCACCACACAGCAGACGTGCACACGTGTCAGCTGGCAGAGACCCTGGGAGAGTGTAATCGGGTGATGGTTTCTCCAACATCAATAAATGCCACTTACAGAGCAGGCAGTGTCCTCTAGGTGGAGGTAATCATGCGGCAGGCAGCTACTTCCTGAAGGGAGGAGGGATGTAACCCCACGCATCAGCCACTGGGACGTGAGGCCTATCCTGGCCACCATGGGGCAGGGGGATGCTACCTGTCTGTGCTTGTGTCCCCCGAGCCCCCACCAAGGTCCATGTCATTATCCACATTTTGGGATATGTCCACATTTGGACATTTTGGGGCTGGGTTGGAAGGGCAGGTCTGAGGCCAACTGCGCAGCCTGTAGGGAGAAGAAAGACCTTCCCGGCCTGCAGCCTGTGCAGGGGAGCTGTTCTGAGCCTCAGCAGTGGTTGGGACAGAAGGAGGATATGTGTTGGGCAGCATGCTCTTGGACACCCCAGTGTCAGACCCAAACAGTGTCCAGTGCTGGGTCCCCTCCGCCACCTCCAGGCCTGCTGCTTGGGCCTGTCCCGCACAGACCATAGCACTGTGTGGTGCCCACAAAGGCAGGTGACCGTGAAGGCTGATGTGTGCACCCATGTGCGTACAGGCATGCCGGAGCCACACGCAGCATGTGTGTCATGCATGTGTGTACCGTGCATTGAGTGTGTATTCCGCACACGTGTGCGTGCCCCGAGCATGCCGTGAAGCTTGGTCCCTCCCCACAGGCAGCAAAGATCAGATCCCAGACGATCTCCTGTAAACATTCGCCAGGGTTGAGACCACCCAGAGCTCCCACTCCACTGCAGGGGTGTCGGTAGCCTCCCTCGTTCCTCTGGGTGCCTCATGGGCACCCCCACACCTGAGCCTCGTGTCACATCCCTGGGGCACCCAGAGGCTAGGGAGAAACTGCAGCCGGCACATCCATCGGGCTCACCTGCACACACCTGGTGCTGACCCAGCTTCAGAGGCCCATTTGGTTACAGCCTTTCCTCCCTTGTTTGCGTGCACAGCCCTGCGATCCCCCGAGGGAGGCACCTGCTGTGTTAAGAGCCCAGGCAGGGTGTGGGCAGATCCAGGCTCAGGGTCCCTGAAGTTTCTGTCCTCAGACCCTGAACAGAGCGACAGCCCAGACCGTCAAGTTGCACTGTCTTCCCACAGTCCCCATCCTGGGAACCATCTGCCCACCCCCGCCCCAGCCCAGCCACAGGATGGAGAGCCAGCTGCTGCCCTCCTGGCTGGTTGCCCTGAGCCTGCAGGTGTAGTCATGCCTGCATCCCCCCGTCCCCCGCAGCCTCCCCCCACTACTAACAGTCCTGCCCAGGGCTGGAAGATGTGTTTCTATCCCTACTACTAGGGACACCAGTACCACCTCCAGGCAGCTGGAGACCCCAGGATCCTCTGGCGGAGAAGTCCTGAGTGTCCCTCCTCTCTTCCAGGAAAGGGAAGGGTACAGAGGGGCTTGGGCACAGCCAGGTAACAAGATCATGGTCCGCGGATGCTCAGAGCCTGCCTGCCCAGGTCACTGTCAGCCAGAGAGCCTGGTGGGTGGCATCAGGACCAAAGAGTGCAAGGAGCACAAACCCACTGGGCCTAGGAAAGCAAGGGTGTCCCCAGGGGCCCCTGGGCTTGGCAGGTGAGGGCAGGTGAGGATTTTGCTAAGCAAATCCTCTGCTCTCCCCTGCCCCAAGTCATCATATCAGGGCCCCCCGTCCTATTCTCTCATTCACCGTCCCTGCTGGAAGCTGGCACCTGCCATGCTAGGCTGGACTCTCCTGGGCCTCACGGCTCTCTCGGGCCTCGGGGCAGGAGCCCCACTGTGCTTATCCCAGCAGCTCAGGATGCAAGGGGACTACGTGCTGGGCGGGCTCTTCCCCCTGGGCACAGCTGAGGATGCTGGTCTGGGCAGCAGGACACAACCCAATGCCACCGTGTGCACCAGGTAGGGAGGTGGGGGGGTGGGGAGCAAAGGTGACGAGGGTGGGGGTGGCTCAGGTCTGGGGTGCTCCCGAGTGGGGACAGGGTGTTGGCCGCCCACAGCCCTGTGTGGCCGCAGGTTCTCGTCCCTCGGCCTGCTCTGGGCGCTGGCCGTGAAGATGGCCGTGGAGGAGATCAACAATGGGTCCACCCTGCTGCCAGGGCTGCGTCTGGGCTGTGACCTCTTCGACACGTGTTCAGAGCCCGTGGTGGCCATGAAGCCCAGCCTCATGTTCATGGCCAAGGCAGGCGGCTGCGACATCACAGCCTACTGCAGTTACACGCAGTACCAGCCGCGCGTGCTGGCTGTCATCGGGCCCCACTCGTCCGAGCTCGCCCTCGTCACCGGCAAGTTCTTCAGCTTCTTCCTCATGCCTCAGGTGTGCCCCCCGGCCCCCTGGGGCCCCCGGCCCCCGCCGGCCCTGCCCGCAGGAGGCCCCACCACAGGAGCTGCCTCGCTGTCCCTGCAGGTCAGCTACGGGGCCAGCACCGACCGGCTGAGCAACCGGGAAACCTTCCCGTCCTTCTTCCGCACGGTGCCCAGTGACCGCGCGCAGGCCCAGGCTATGGTGGAGCTGCTGCAGGAGCTGGGCTGGAACTGGGTGGCTGCGGTGGGCAGCGACGACGAGTACGGCCGGCAGGGCCTGAGCCTCTTCTCCAGCTTGGCCAATGCCAGGGGCATCTGCATCGCGCACGAGGGCCTGGTGCCGCTGCCGCACACAGGCAGCCTGCGGCTGGGCTCCGTGCAGGACCTGCTGCGCCAGGTGAACCAGAGCCGCGTGCAGGTGCTGGTGCTCTTCTCCTCCGCCCGGGCGGCCCACACCCTCCTCAGCTACAGCATCCGCCGCAGGCTCTCGCCGAAGGTGTGGGTGGCCAGCGAGGCCTGGCTGACCTCGGACCTGGTCATGACGCTGCCCGGCTTGGCCACGGTGGGCACCGTGCTCGGCTTCCTCCAGCAGGGCGCCCCGATGCCCGAGTTTCCATCCTACGTGCGCAGCCGCCTGGCCTTGGCGGCTGACCCTGCCTTCTGTGCCTCACTGGACGCCGAACAGCCAGGCCTAGAGGAGCACGTGGTGGGGCCACGCTGCCCGCAGTGTGACCACATCACGCTGGAGGACGTGTCTGCGGGGCTGCTGCACCACCAGACCTTCGCCGCCTACGCGGCCGTGTACGGCGTGGCCCAAGCCCTCCACAACACTCTGCTCTGCACTGCCTCAGGCTGCCCCCCGCGGGAGCCTGTGCGGCCCTGGCAGGTAAGGGCGGGGAGCCCCCCCCCCGCCACTGCCCATGCTCCCGAGGAGGAGTTTCCGTGCGGAGTTAGGGCTGGAGGCAGCTGCTGGCTCAGCACTCCCTCCACCTGCTCCAACCCACCCACCAGCTCCTCGAGAACATGTACAACATGACCTTCCACGCACGTGGCCTGGCACTGCAGTTCGATGCCAGCGGGAACGTGAACATGGATTATGACCTAAAACTGTGGGTGTGGCAGGACCCGACACCCGAGTTGCGCGCTGTCGGAGTCTTTAATGGCCGCCTGAAGCTCTGGCACTCCCAGCTGTCCTGGCACACACCAGGGAACCAGGTGAGCCCCCCTCACCCAGGAACAAGCTCTAGCTCTGTCAGGGGGGATGGGTGGGGTCGGGGGGACGGGGTGGGGGGGACCATCCCTAGTCTGGGGGCACGCCCAGCCAAGCACAACCTGAGCCCCAAGGCCCCGTGCCAGCTGCCTGTGTCCCAGTGCTCCCGGCAGTGCAGGGAGGGCCAGGTGCGCCGAGTGAAAGGCTTCCACTCCTGCTGTTATGACTGCATGGACTGCAAGGCCGGCAGCTACCAGCGCAGCCCAGGTGAGCAGCTCTCCCAGGCCTGCATGAGCTGAGGATGAGTTGGGACCAGGGACACGTGCGGTCTGTGTCCTGGCTCCACGACCAACTCTGAGGCCAGAGCAAGTGGGTGGGAGTGAGACCGAGGGGCCAGTGCCCCCCACCAGTGCCCCTTCTTTCCTCCCACACCACAGATGACCTCCTCTGCACCCAGTGTGAGCGGGACCAGTGGTCCCCAGACCGGAGCACGCGCTGCTTCCCCCGCAGGCCGACATTCCTAGCATGGGGGGAGCCAGCCGTGCTGGTTTTGCTTATACTGCTGGGCCTGGCACTGGGCCTGGTGCTGGCAGCCCTGGGGCTCTTTATCTGGCACTGGGACAGCCCACTGGTTCAGGCCTCAGGTGGGCCATGGGCCTGCTTTGGCCTGGCCTGCCTGGGCTTCGTCTGCCTCAGCATCCTCCTGTTCCCTGGCCGGCCAGGCCCTGCCAGCTGCCTGGCCCAGCAGCCACTGCTCCACGTTCCACTTACTGGCTGCCTGAGCACACTTTTCCTGCAAGCAGCCCAGATATTTGTGCGCTCGGAGTTGCCACCCAGCTGGGCAGAGCAGCTGCGTGGCCGCCTGCAGGGGCCCTGGGCCTGGCTGGTGGTGCTACTGGCTCTGCTGGCAGAAGCGGCACTGTGTGCCTGGTACCTGGTGGTTTTCCCGCCAGAGGTGGTGACGGACTGGTGGGTGCTGCCCACAGAGGCGCTGGTGCACTGCCGCGTGCGCTCCTGGGTCAGCTTTGGCCTGGTGCACGCCACCAATGCTGTGCTGGCCTTCCTCTGCTTCCTGGGCACCTTCCTGGTGCAGAGCCAGCCGGGCCACTACAATGGCGCGCGTGGCCTCACTTTTGCCATGCTGACCTACTTCATCACCTGGATCTCCTTTGTGCCCCTCTTTGCCAATGTGCACGTGGCCTACCAGCCCACGGTGCAGATGGGTGCCATCCTCTTCTGTGCCCTGGGCATCCTGGCCACCTTCCACCTGCCCAAGTGCTACCTGCTGCTGTGGCGGCCGGAGCTCAACACCCCTGCATTCTTCCTGGGAGATGATGCCGGAGTACAGTGCAGCAGTGGTACTGGGGGGCAGGAGACTCGAGGCAAAAACAAGTGACCCCTGACCCAGGGACCTCACCCCAGTGAACCCAGACTTAGCTGCGATGCGCGCACACCCAGTTTCTATGAAGCAACCCCAGACTTCCCCAACTGCTGAGACCACCCCGCCCTAGATCCTGACGGCAGGCTGACTGCTGCTCTTGAAGCAACAGCGATCCTTGGACCTGAAGCACCCACTTGGGGCCCCAGAGCAGCTCTGCAGGTCTTAGACAAGCCCTGGCCAGGGCCTACCCATGTGACCCAGTCCCACTGGTCCAAAAAAGAGGCCCATAGAAAGATTCCTCAGGGCTCCTGTAGCTCATGCCAAGAGCTCAGGAGAGCCCCCAACCAGATCACCTGAAGTCCAAGCTGGGCATTACTTGCCTGGCCAGGCCCAGACTGGAGCCTCCAGTCAGCACCCATCCAAGCATCACAGGAATGGGAGGTTAGTGGGTGGGTTGGAGCTGCTCTGACCCCTCTGCAGGGGCATTCAATTGACCGTGGGCCCCCAGAGTGGGACAGGAATGGTAAGTAGGGTGGGGTCCCACTTGGGGGAGGATGGGGAGCACACCCCACCTCCTCTTCTCTCTGTGGCCCGGCCTGAGCTGGTAAAATGGGATCAGATGGCCACCAGCACCGTGGACAGAGCCTGGGTCAGCACCAAGGCCAGCACCCATAGCCAAGACCCCTGGAGCCAGGAGCTAGCACCACGGACAGAAGACCAGCCACTAGGACCCTGACAGAAGCCAGGACCAGGGACAGAGCCCTGGTGCGGACCAGGGACCCAGAGGACAGCACCTGGCCAGTCCTCAGTCAGCTCTCAGCCGGGCCCTGGGGAGGCTGGACAAGCCCCCACACTCCAGCCTTCTAAGGTACCCCGGAGAAGAGAAGAGACACAGACCACACATCAGTCCCATAAAATTAAATGCTTTTTAGTCTTTAAAATAGCATTTACACAGAAGCAGCTCTATTAACTATCTGGACGGACACTCCGACTTGATACAGTATCTACAGCGCAGATGTGTGCAGGCCAGAAACTCCAGGAAGGAAGCGGCGTGAGAGGGTGGGCAGCCACCCGAGGGCAGCAAGGAGGAGTGGGCTGGCTACCCCCTCTTCCCCACACGCTGCCCCTGCAGCAGCTGTGTGCATCTGGGCCCCTTGCCCCTCAGGGTCACATCCCCACCACCACCAGCCGAAACACGTCCCCCTCCCATCTACCCCCTCACCAACCCTCCCACTTTCAGATGGGACCTGTGTCCCTGCATTCAGTCTGAGACCCGGTGGGGGGCGGGCTGCTGGCCACCACCTCCCCCAGAGCACACAGGCCAGGCAATAAATAAATAAATTAGATCCCTACCCTGGGCATCCACAGAGGAGCCTGGGGGCTCTGATTCCACCTTCAAGAAAGGCCAACCCAGCCCAGGCAAGAGTGGTGGGGCCTGTGATTTGAGCAAAGAGGGGGCGCAGGCCCACTAGCCACTCCTCAGCTTAGTCTGGGGCTCTGTGCACCGCTCTTTAGGCAAGCGGGGGGTCCCTGAGGCACACCCCAAGGGCACAGGGTCTGCACGGACACAAGCTGCTCCAAATAGGAATGGACGGACTGCTGAACTCAGATCATGGTGGTCTGGGCTGCCCTCAGCCCCTCGCCCAGCCTGCTCCCACTCTGTCCAGGCCTGGGCCCCCTGACATGGACCCTTGCGTGCATGGAAGCACAGGCTGGCCTGACCCAGGACAGCCACCAATAAGGCAAGCTCACACGAGCCCCAGAGACAATGCCCTCCTGCAGGAGCGGGCAGGACCACCAGCTCCCCCACCTCGGGGCCGAGCTGAAGGCACTCTCTCCTCAGTCACATGATGTCAACAAAAAATTCACAGGGGTTTCCCATGGCCTTCTGGAAGGACTGGCGGCTACCTGTCAGCTCTGGAGGAACAGCAGCCAGTTCCCGGACAGGCGGCCCCCCTGGTGGCCCCCCCACCACTGAGTAAGCCTTTGTTGAGGGGTACAGTGGGGGTAGCCCCGGGGCAGCAGCTGAGGCCTGGCTGTGTGGGCTGCTGCCCCGGCTGAGCTGGCTAGCCGGACGCTCCCGCCAGCTGCTGCCCCCGACCCCACTCGGCACCGTGTGGTCCGACTCGCTGCCACTGCCCCCAGCTCCAGCCGCCCGGCGCTCCTTCTCGTGGCCCAGTGCCCGCCGGCTGCTCCCGCCAGCGCTCCGGGTGGACCCACTGCTTTTGCTTCCTGGAGTCGAGGACAGGGGACAGGAATGAGATGCTCAGTGTCACGCCACATCACTGCCAGGACGACCGGCCATTGCCAGGGAAACCAGGGACAGAACCTGGTGGTCTCAAGCAGGGTGGGCGCGGGAGGGGCGGCCGTGCGGACAGGAGAGCGGGGCAGGCCCCACTCAGAGAAGCAAGAGCAGCAGCAGCAGCAGGCCGGGGGGAGCGGGGAGGCAGGGCGAGCAGAGGCAGGCAGGCAGGGACACTCTGGGGCCAGCTCAGTGCCCCCCATCTCACCCCAATGCCTGATCTTGTAGCTGAGAGCCTGAGGCCCAAGTGAGGCCCCGTGTGCCCGGTGCTCCCATTGGCCATCCTGGGCCCCCCACCCCCAAGACCCACCTTCCGTCCAGCCCCAAGGCCCTGGCCAGCTACTCAGCTCAGCCCCCGTCCTGGGCTCCCAGGAAGAGCGGGGACCCTGAGAAGGCCAGCTGGCCGGGAACATGCCGAGAGGGACGCCGGGCGGGACCCTGGCTTACCGGCCCGGAGGGTCCACTCCGCTAGTCCTTCAGTCTAAGGCTTGCTCAGCACAAAGCAAGGGATAGCACGAGTTACACAGTAGGCCTGGCCCGGACACCCGTTCCCACCTGCGGCACATGCCGCCACCAGCCGGGCCTGTCCAGGATCTGCAGGCGCCCAGCACCAGCTTCCTCTGGGCCACCACTGCCCTCTGACCTGCTCTCCTCTCTCCCCCATCCCTATCTGCCTCTACCAGGCTGGCTGCCTGACCTCTGTCCCCTGGCTTCAGTGACACCAACAGCCTCAGGCCACTCCTCTAACAAGCCCCCTCCTCAGGGACGCCCCTGAGCTTCCTGCTCAGCTCTCCATACATCCTAGGGTGGGTCCCCAGTTGTCTGTGGGACTGTCCACCTCTGGCTCCAGGCCAGGTTGCAGGTACTGGGGGCAGGGGTCTGTCCTCCATCATGTCCTGGGACCTCTCTGCCGTCCTTCCCCAGCCCATCTCCTGGCCTTTTGCTTCTGCTGCACCTGGAACATCAGCACCCCCGCGACACACAGCCCCCAAGTCTGCCGAGTTCTCCCCATCCTCCTGAACCACTCACCCCTTCCAGAAGGAGCTCACCCAGGGCCTCAGCACAGAGCAAGGAGGAGCGCACGGGACAGGGGGGCGGGCACACACAGCAGAGCCAGGCGGCAGGGACAGTGGGGAGCTGGGCACCCAGCAGGCTCTCACCTTCACTCTGCTGACTTCCTGCACTGCCGCTACCATAGCTGAAGCCAGGGTCCTGGTACGCAGGTGGGAAGCAGGGCGGGGGGCCTGGGTACTGGTAGGGGTAGCCCTGACCCAGGGGCCACGGGGCGGCCGGATGGGGCAGGGGGGCCAGCGTGTCTTGATCCGAGGCCCCGCTGGAGCCACTGTTGAGGTTCAGGGCTGCGAGATCTGGCGGGAGGGGCGGGCGGGTGAGGGCAGTGTGGGTGGGCCCTCGGGGGACCCCCGCCCCGCAGCCCCCCACTCACTGCTGCACAAGTCCCCGAAGACGTAGTAGCACTGCTCCGAGAAGGTGATCTTGTTGACCGTGTGCCGCAGGAAGCCCCGCTTCAGCATGCTGCTGGCGTACTTGCGAGCCTCGCGCCGCTCCTTGAAGCCCTCCACGTGCGTGTACAGCCAGTCCACCACGTCCGCCCCTGACCCGGAGCACGCGTCAGGGCCCAGAGCCTGGGGTCCCGGCCCACCCACCTAGAGCGAGCCCTGTGGCACCCCTCACCGATGACGGCGTTGGCGATGGTGATCTTGAGCCACATGCGGTCTCGGATCTCCAGGCCCGAGTCTGGCAGCTGCATGACGCGCACCACGGCCCCCATGTCACTCTTCACCGTCAGAGGCGTCTCCTCCAGTTCTGCAAGGCACAGCCCCCGCCCTCAGCCCTGAGCAGCCAATGGCAGGGAGGGCTGGGATGGGCCGCGGGGCCCACCGTGGGGACCCAGCTCTGGGTCAGGTCTGTGGTCACAGAGCCCAGGCCGTGAGGCTATCCGGCGACTGTGGGCTCCAATCCCACCACAGCACAGACCCTCACAGGGGCGGGGAGCAAGGGGGGTCAGGTCTTTGTCCCCTACCCCTGCAGATGCTTCGTCAGGATCTTGGGCCCAAACCCAGGTGAGGCCACGCCACCCCCGCCCCTGCAGACCAGAGCCCCACAGGGAGAGGCCTCCTCCCCTCCCCCACTCCGCTCGCTCAGGGCTGTTAGTTGTGTTAGCTGCAGGAAAGCCGGGTGGGGGCCAGGCGCAAGCCCTGCCTCTCCTCTCTGGGGGTCCCCAGGGCTGGCCTGACCCCTCCAGGCATCTGCCAGCCAGCTGGAAGGAGGGCGTGCGTGAGGGCACACACACACGTGTCAGCCACATCCATCCACGTGCAGGCCCTCCGCTGCAACAGTGCTAGGTGGGCGCCCTGGGGCCTCGGGTCCCTGCTCCCCTGAGCTGCCACTTACGTGGAGCGCCGGGCACAGAGCTGGTTAGTGAGGAGGAGCTGGTGCGCGTGACGGCACTGGAGCAGGGGCTCGTACCGTAGCGTGGCAGGGCTCCGGTCAGCGCCGCCGTGTGGGACAGCCAGGCGGCGGGGTCGATGGGCCGTACCGGGTCAGCTGGGTGGCCGCCGTGTGGTAATGGATGGACGGACAGACAGACGGATGGATGGCAGCACATGATGGAGCACAGAGGCACAGAGGAAAGGACCTTCAGGCTGGGCAGGTGCCCTCACCCCCCCTCCCGTAGCAGCCCTGCAGGGTCACTCACCCCTCGGGATGGTGAAGTAGCTCCGGGGGGTCGGGTCCCAGCACTTGGCCACCGTGAGGCTGATGGGCCTGTGGGGTGCAGCGGGTCATACAGGCGAAGCCGCAGGGACCCCAGACACGCCCCTGCCCGCCCCTACACCTCACCCCGTCTGGGACACGATCTCCCGCAGCACCCGCACAGCGTCGTCATTGCTCATGTTCTCGAAATTGATGTCGTTTACCTGGGGGGTGAGGGGTTCAGCGTGGCGGCTCGGCGAGCTGGCCTCGCGGCACCCCCAGCTCCTCCCCGCAGCCCCACACCTGCAGCAGCATGTCCCCCGGCTCGATGCGCCCGTCGGCCGCCACGGCCCCGCCCTTCATGATGGAGCCGATGTAGATGCCGCCGTCGCCCCGCTCGTTGCTCTGGCCCACGATGCTGATACCCAGGAAGTGGTGCCTCTCTGCAGGGGCGAGGGGTGAGCAGGCGCCCCCTGAGGGGGCAGCCCAGCCAGGGGACCCAGCACCCCGCGGGGGACCCCAAGAAGGCCTCACCCATGTTGAGAGTGACAGTGATGATGTTCAGGGACATGGTGGAGTCCGTGATGCTACTGAAGGAAGAAGCCTGCAGGGCAACCCAAGTGAGGGCCGGGGGGCAGGGGCTTCATGGGGCGCCCCCCGCCCCACCCCCTGCCCCGCCACCACCTACCCGGTCCGCCTGCCGCAGGCGCTGCTTCCGTCGCCTCCGCTTGTGCTTCCGGATGAGCCTCGAGGACGTGCTCTGCTCCGTGGAGCTGCTCAGGCTGGGGGAGGGGAGGGGCAGGGAAGTTAGGGGCCTGGCCCAGGACTGCAAGGCAGGGGCGGGGCGGAGGACAGGGCACCCAGGCGCCGGCTCCCCGGACACCCCCAGCCGGGTCCG